TCCTTGTATGTTGGCACTCAGAGAGATCATATCTCTCCTGTCTTAGCTTCCCTACATTGGCTACCTGTTAAATTCAGAATAGATTTTAAGATCCTCCTTCTCACATATAAAGCTCTTCATAATCAAGCTCCATCATACATCAGTGACCTGATTGTTCCATATGTTCCTAACCGAGCACTTCGTTCTCAGACTGCAGGGTTACTGATGGTTCCCAGAATATCTAAAATTAGGATGGGAGGCAGATCTTTTAGTTATCAGGCTCCTCTCCTGTGGAACCAGCTCCCAGCTTTAGTCTGTGAGGCAGACACTTTGTCTACTTTTAAGACTAGGCTTAAAACATTTTTATTTGATAGGGCCTATGGTTAAAATCTGATGTTAGCCTAGATCTGGACAAGTGGGGGAGTACAGGGAGGTGGAGCGTACAGTTGGTTAAGACGGCTCTCCCTTGCCCGGCCTCCAACATGCCTACATCTAAATAGGATAGATTGGCCAGAGTTACTGTATCTCTGTAGTTATGCTGCTATATGCTTAGACTGATACACTGACCACTTTTCACACTCTACTACTTTCTTCTACAATCTGCTCTTTAACTGTACTATTTTCTGCAATTTCAGCTGTTAACTTTATTTTCTCTGTAAGTGTTTTTCTCCCCAGAAGAAGCTACAATGATGTTCTGCTGAGCTTTTGTGGCCTCATGGAGGGGGACATCGTCTAGCACACTGCTGCTAACCACTTAAACATTCTCCCTCTACTGATAATAACTTTTTGCTCTCCTTGACGTTGGACGTGCTACTACTAGTTTATTCGTTTAATTATAGATCCACTAGGATAAATACAATAAAGTTTATCTCTCACCAAATAGAATATTTACTAAGAAATCACAATGTAACTATAGACACATTACTTTGTCTTTGTCTGCGTGCGTGCGTGTGTGCGTGCGTGTGTGCGTGCGTGTGTGTGTGCCTGCTCTGTCTTCTCGATCCCCAGTGAGTCGTGGAGGATGGCTGCTTATTCTGAGCCAGGATTCTCTGGAGGTTTCTTCCTGTTAAAAGGGAGTTTTCCTCTCCACTGTCGCTTTATGCTTGCTTAGTATGAGGATTGCTGTATAGTCACTGACACTTGTCAGTGACTTGATGCAATTTGCTGGGTTCCTTATATAAGAAACATTATTTCTAATTGGCTAACTGAACTGACCTGAATTGGAATGTTTATTATGTGAAGTGCCTTGAGATGACTCTTGTCGTGATTTGGCGCTATATAAATAAAATTGAATTGAATTGAATTGAACTCCAAGGCTGATCTGGTCCACCTGGTGAAGGCTGCTTGACTCAGCCACAAAGATCTGGGATCTCTTTCTTTTATTCACAAACAGTTTGTGGTGGATAGACCAATAAATGACGAGCTTCAGCCCCCTCTCCTTTGAAGCCAATCCTGCTTGAGGCAGCCTCCAAACTTGGATGGAGAACCAATGCTTCATGTCTGGACTGTCATCCCAGAAGCTGCAGACTGCTAGCGTAGCATGTCGACCGTCTTTTGCCGAAGCAAATTGATTTTGCATTACATGTCGGTCTAACACATTTATAGAACAGCTTAAAATGCCTCAGTGCACCTCAAAGATGAGATGAAGACACCAAGAGAACCATAACATCTGTGAAGAGAAGAAACGAGACTCAACATCACAAACTGGATCCAACATCACGGCCAGCCTAGAGCAGGGCTATTCAATTCCAGCACATTTTAGCTTTAACCCTCAACACACCTGATTTTGATCAGCAGGTGATTAACAGGCTTCTGCAGAGCCTGATGAGCTTCTGCACAGGTGATTCATCTACGTAATCAAGTGAGTTGGACCAGAGAAACTGCTAGAACATGCTGGATACCGGCCCTTGAGGCCTGGAATTAAATAGCCTCTGCCTAGAGAGTTGGTCCTGGGAGTCCCCTTTCAGTTGGCCTGTTGTACTTTTGAACAGATTCAGTTGGGATCTCCATTGGGACGGCCTCTTAACTGACTGTTTCCATCAGAACTAATGTCGGTGTCTCCGAACAGAAACGTTATCTATAACAGGTAATAATGCTTTATAACAAACCCTTCTTTAAAAGGTCTGTACTATTACTTTAACATCAAGTCTTTTTAATAAACATCACAAAGAACAAACAAAAACATCTGTGCATGCTTGAGAAAATGTGAATTGAGAAAGGGAACGTCCATTAAACCATGTCTCCTGATAGAAGAAAGTTGCTAATTACATCCAGAGCTGATGTTTTTATGCTTGTTGCCAGGAATACTTGGAGCGTGTGGACACCTGATGATGATGATTAGGGTTGTCTTCAGCAGAACACCTCTACATGGTGAAGGCAGGTAATGTGTTAAAATGACAGAGAACAACATGTCTCTCCTGCAGTATCTTGGTTGCCAGGGTGACAAGTGCCTCACAAGGTGGTGGTGATGGCAACACTGCTTCCATAAAAAGGTCAGATTTTTCAGCTTATTTAATCAACTAGATTTTTTTTTTTCGTCAACACTACTGCTTTTTTCCTTTTTGTGAGATGAAACGTTGTGAGGTGTGTTTTCTTTTGCCAAAAGGCAAAATGTGTAACTCATCTACATGTGCGATGCTGCATATGGTTTCATACCCCCACGATGATTTTATTCAAGATTCAAATAATAAAACTTTCCAAATCCTGCCATTGTCGCGGGAAGTTGAAGTTCTGTTATTCAGTCACTGTGTTACAGATGTTCATATCCTCTTCACCCTTTCATTTGTTCAGCTGCTCTGGTGGGTTTGTGTTGACGTTTAGATTATTTCTGTTACAGGAACCAGTCGCGGAACAAGACTGAGCTGAAACTCATTCACAAATCATTCTCAGAGCGGAGGCAACATTAGCTCAGGATGCTCATCCTGTTACCGGGGGATTGGTAGTTCAAACCCCCTGCCTCAGAGGGACCCACTAATACCAAATGTATGGCAGCCTGTCGGTGTGCCCCAGGGCAGCTGTGGTTACGACAAACACTGACCAAATATTTAAACGCTTGTTTTTGCTCACGTTTTTCATGAGCTTAAATGAAAGATCTGAAACATTTTCTGAATACATACAAGAGCCCATAACTCAAACCTCATTCACAAATCTGGCTAAATCTGTGTTAGTGAGCTCTTCTCTGCCATGATAATCCTCACAGGTGTGGCATATGATGGTGCTGATTAGACAACATGAATACACACAGGCTTTCAGTGAGTTAAATTAATTCATGAGGTCCCAAAAAATGAGAATTAACTAAACACAATTCAACTACAAATTTAAATAAATAAAAAGGTTAACAAGCAGGACTGAGGCTAGTGATGGAGGCAGGTAACGCGGGGCAGAGAAGCCCCAACACAAGAAAAATAATGAAGAACGTATAAAGGATTCACCCCTGGCAGTGAACATTCATACCAACATGAGAAAACCAGCACCACCACACGCACACGGGACCACCACCTCCGAGGCCACACACCACACCTCCTGCCTCAGCCTGCACAAAGACAAAAAGATTAAAAACGGTATAAAATGTGTACAATATAAATCAGCTGTTCTTCCTTCTGGACTCCGGCCACGAGCCAGGGAACTTCCTTCAAACAGCTGATTTGAAATGTAGAAAAAGGAAACGAAACAAAACAGCGGCGCCTCCCGCTGGACCACGGAGAAATCTACCGGTCCTCTCACCGATGACCCCTGAGTAGAAGGGAACTCCCTGCCCAGCAGCAACGGGGATTCAATCTTTCCCGTTTGCTAATGTTTTGTATAGCAAAGGCAAGCGATGATGTCACACCCAACACTGATTAATTGCCCAAGCACAGTTGGAGCAGAGCCGATCACCCCAAAAACGCAGCCAAAGGACACGGGTTGGTAACACGTAGTGGTATACTTAAAACCAGCCGTTTCCTGAAATTACTTCCTTACCGGAGGAGCTCCCCTTTTATAGCCGGAGCGCCCTCCTACGTATGGAGGGCGTACTGTTCTAAACCAATAAACTTGGAGCAGGTATTTCGTACTGCTACAAAAGGAACACTAAAATTTAAACATGTTAATGAAAATTATATTCTCTGTAGACATCACAAAAATGCATTTTCTCTTTCTTCACATGTATAAATCCCAATTTTCTATTTGTTCTCATTTTAAACATATTTGAAAATCATTTTTCAAAATGTTTTTTATATTTTTAATTTTTGTTTTTGTGAAGCGCTTTGTGATTTTTATATTGAGGGGTGCTATAGAAAAGATAGTTATCTTTCTTTTCTTTTCACTACAGAGCTCAGCAGTGTCTTTTTGTTAAGAAACTCAGGTCCTGCTGCATTTATTTGCAGCTTGCATAGGAACCACGACTAAATTTAAAATATTAAAATAAAAACAGTATTTAGTCCAGACCAGGTAAAGTGAAGCAACGAACCTTACTGGTGTGAATAAAACCTAAATATGCCATCATTTCTTGTATAAAAATATCAGGATTAAAATATACAACATACAACATGGACTAGTAATAGTGAGAAAGAGTTATAAAAACACTGTAGAAACAAGAAGGATAATCTCTGTCTCTGACATTCATGTATACTTCACAAAAACATTATTCAAGTAAAAGTTAAAAGTACAGTATAATAACACTATTCTTAAAAGTATGCTCTCTCATTCAAGAGTATGCAACTGAGTAAACTTTACTTCCCAATGCTAAAGGTTAGTCTTCTTTTAGCTTAAGGTTAGCTTGGTGGCTAAATGTGCTGTGTACGTGTTAGCATAAAAAGAGGACCAAAACATTTACTCTTTTATCTTTTAAATAACATACTCACACATAATTGCATCCTCCATGACACGCCGTGGAGGCTGTCTTTTTCTCTTACTTGTCCGTACGGTCCGAAAAAGCGGTATTATGAGCTGAGGGCGACGACCTTATGCGAGGACCTGGCAGCCGGCTGTCACGTGACTTACAGTTGCATCGCCTTTTCCGAGAGGGTGCTCGCTGGAGTGAGAGGGTGCTCGCTGCGGAACCACAAAGGCGGAGCTGCACCAGAGGGTGGAGCTGCACTAGAGTCAGCTCCGCCCATTCCTGCTCCTAATTGGTGCAGGCAGACTCGCCTCTGCTGAGACGGTCCTTGTTGCAGCAAAAGCACAAAGGTGGAGCTGCCGCTCCCGGCCGTTCCAAGTGACTCCAACTTCGGCTTAATGGCTGTAAGTAACCTAACTTAAAATAAACACAATTAAAGTTATTTATTTAAACGTTTATTTTGCAATGTGCGGTAAATTTGGCTCAAATTGCACTCGGTACTTATGCTAACATAGCTAGTAGGGTAGACTTCAAGGTTATCGAAAACGAATTTAAACTGTAACGCGCGTACACAAAACTAACTAACTGTATTTATTGAAATAATGGGCTTAGTTTTTGTTTCATAAAGTATGTCATAAAGTCTAAGAATTATTTCTATGTCACTCCCTGCCTACGGCGCGTTGTCACCAGAAACAGATGCGATCATCTGTTGTGCCTTTTTGGTTAGCACGCTTTGATAAAATCAACAGAACGGAAAAGTTTGATAAAAGTCCATCGACTCACTCCCTTTCAAGGCAAAGAAAAGACGTCTTAGCTATTGGAACGATGATTAAACACGCACTAGTCTTCAGAAACAACTTTATAACCGGTGAGTTATGGCTAACAAACAAGCTAACATTACAACTGTAAACTGCAAATCATAGCAATGGGAGCCAGCCGAAGCGGTGTACGCTGGTTTAGGTTGTGTGTGTGTATATGCTAAATTGATGAAAAATAATCCCTCTATTTTTTCTGGTTGTTGGGTGGTTTTCACTCGGTAGTACTGCATTATTCCAACACGTCAGAGAAGTCAGTGTGCTGATTGTGTAGCTGCGGTTACACATCATGTAAGCAAAGGTTGAGAGAAAGCGTCACAGGATTATTTGGGATTATTTATGACTAAGAGTATGTGCAAAATAACCTAAAGCATTGTGGTAGTCATGGTAGCTTGGCTTTAGTTTTATTGTGTTGCCAGTCAGTGTTTTTTTTAATAGAATTGTAGCACCTGCATTAATTGTTTGGCGTTTTAACGCACAGGTGCTGTTATTGTGTTTACTGAATTTGAACGTTACTCTGCCATACATCGTTTGTACTTGCCTGATTACAGTTCTTAAAAAGCATAATCATTTTCTGAGTTTTTATACTATTTTTTAGTCTTTTCCCTGTACACATCTTGTTTAAAGAAGACAGAAACAATCAAAACTAAACTACCTATCGAATGGTATAAAGTAATTAAAACTAAAATTGAATTTAAAATTTTTATTCAAAACTAAATAAAATTTTAATCTAATGACAATTTTAAAAGTATTTTATAACCCTGGTAGACTTTCCCAGTGCACTTGTTTAACACAAAATAAATTAAAACCAAATTAAATGTGCTCAGTGTGTGTATTCTGATATTTAATTTTTTTCTTCATATTTTAGAATGTTCTTGTGTGTGTATGACTTTCACAGATGCATCAAACAATACTGAGGAGAGGGCAGGATCCTCTTCAGTCTATCAAGCGATGCAGCGATTGTTGCAGCAACATTCACTGCACTTTCTGTAAAATGACATATGCTGATTTTTACAAGGTTAAATACCATGTACAGAATCATGTGAGCATTGCTGTAAAACATGAAGGTATGTATGCAGTGTTTTAAATTTCTCCAGTAATTTATTTACTATTCCCTACTTTGTATGAGTGAGTTTCCAATATGAATGTTTAGTCATTTATTTTATGTCAGTTTCTTCTTTTTTATTATCAATAAATAACATAAGGCAAGGCTAGTAGTTTTATATAAGTACTTGATCTGGTATCGGGTGAAGTCTGTTGTGCTACTTTGCATGAAGCATCACCGTACACAAGACAGTTAATCAATCTGCTCTCTTTTCACTTTAGATTATGTCATCTTAAAATGCAGCCTGGGCTGTAGGGAAATGGCACATTATCATTGTTGTTACTGTCCGTCAACGATTCTGCGGAGAATGGCATTTGTGAAACATCTTGCTATATGTAAGGAGAAATTATCACGTCCTCCACCACCGGCACAGACAGCACCTCCTCCATCAGCACAGACAAGACCTCCACAGACAGGACCTCCTCCTCCATCGGCACAGACAAGACCTCCACAGACAGGACCTCCTCCTCCATCGGCACAGACAAGACCTCCACAGACAGGACCTCCTCCTCCACAGACAGGACCTCCTCCTCCACAGACAGGACCTCCTCCTCCACAGACAGGACCTCCTCCTCCATCGGCACAGACAGCACCTTCTCCATCGGCACAGACAGCACCTTCTCCATCAGCACAGACAAGACCTCCACAGACAGGACCTCCTCCTCCACAGACAGGACCTCCTCCTCCACAGACAGGACCTCCTCCTCCATCGGCACAGACAGCACCTTCTCCATCAGCACAGACAAGACCTCCACAGACAGGACCTCCTCCTCCATCGGCACAGACAAGACCTCCACAGACAGGACCTCCTCCTCCATCGGCACAGACAAGACCTCCACAGACAGGACCTCCTCCTCCACAGACAGGACCTCCTCCTCCACAGACAGCACCTCCTCCTCCATCGGCACAGACAGCACCTCCTCCATCGGCACAGACAAGACCTCCTCCATCGGCACAGACAGGACCTCCTCCTCCATCGGCACAGACAGCACCTCCTCCATCAGCACAGACAAGACCTCCTCCTCCACAGACAGGACCTCCTCCTCCATCGGCACAGACAGCACCTCCTCCTTCACCACAGGCAGGACCGTCGTCATCCTCATCATCCTCACGACGATTAAAGGTCCGCCAGCCGGTGAAAGTGACATGCAGCCATTGCGGCATCACATTAAATAAAAAGAACTTGCAGGTGCATATTAATAGAAAGCACAGGCCAAAGGGACAACAGATATCAGAGACACGACACCTGTCATGTCAGTGTATTGATGCTACAAATGGCATCTTTGCAGTCAACAAATCATTCTTCAAACCATGCTCACCAATACATGTACAGAAAAAAACCTGGGGTACAAGCCAAAAACAAATTTGTGAATTGGATGATTGCAATACTAATTTGGACTTTGCAGTGAGGAGTGGAATTCTGCCATATGAATGCATCCACTTAAAATCATTGACATTTTCTCCCAGATCAGACACCCCCCCCACAATTCTGGAAGAAGAGGTGCTGTCAGACATAGTGTCTGCCAAAATATTTGGGGATGTGAGAAAACAGAGCTGCTTGAACCTCCAGAGCAAATCTGCTGCTGCAGGGGTGCCTCTCTCAGTTGATGTCACAGTTGGAGGGCCGTCCTCAAAAAAGTTCATATCAGTTTTTGAACCCAAAGTGTCATGCTACAGCAGACTGGGAAGGGTAATGGTGGCCTTCGACATGAAAAAGAGGTCATGGCATTGCCCATGTGCCAAACCCAGACTGTTGTGCTTGCACAAAAGTGTGGCTAAATGGCATCTCTTTCAGACAGACAGAGAAATGTTCAAGACCAAAGAGAGTGCCACTGACAGTGGTGATGCTGCTGAGACAAATGAAGAACTGCAGGATGATGCAATACCAGTCGGAGGACAACAATATCCTCCTGGTGACAATGATCTCATGAGAATGGTAAAATACATAATGAAAAACAAAGCTCTACCGGAAAATCTCCCCCAGGATTTGGTCACTGGCTCCCAAACATTAGAGGACATTTCAAAGGACTTGATTCCCAAAGAAACCATATGTGCAGAATGTGGAGGCCAACTTAATGAGCCAGTGCTCATTACAGCACGTGCCAAGCTGGTGGCATACACTGGTGTTGTACATGGTGAGACTAACTTAATCTATATTAACTAAACTACAAGGTTTAATACAAAGTAAACCTAAAGTCTGTGTTGTACACATGCGCAATGAATTACTTGTAGATAACATATAAGACAATATAAAATAAGTCAGTCTCTAACACCTACTTTGTGTCTACCACAATTCTTTCTGATTTCTTCTTCAGGCTTTTCTACATACCGCAGGGAATGTCCCGACTGTGGGCTGATTTATCGATACCAGGAGTGGAGTGATGGGATTCATAATTTCAATGACCATATACTCCTCACTCTTCATCTATGTATTTATCTCCGTAACTCAATTCAGGTAAGCAAAACATGCAAGGAATGCCCTTGTTATTGATTAGAACGTGTACCTAACTCTATATTTTACCGTTCTAGACACACCATGCTGTAAGCCGAGCAATTGAGGTCTTGGAGAAAACTGAAAATCAGACCTTCCCCAGTAAGGCCACAATGCTCCATGCATACATGCATTTTGAAGCCCTGACAGCTCACAGCTACTCATACTCCTGTTATAAGTGTGGATACTATCCACCTGTGGTTATCATGGACCTGCACAGGAAGGGTGTCTTCAATATGCCTAGTGAGTGTCAGAACAAACTGCATGTAAAGAAACTATTTTAATGCTTGATTAATAGAATGCTTGGCTTTACAGCAAGTGAGATGGAGACTCCACCAGCAGACTTTGATGGCAGAGTCAACATCAAAGATTTTTATGACTCTGTGACGTCTCAGATCATTTGTACTGGCTTATTGACAAGTGAGTTGATAACATTTCCAGTAAGAAGAATAATATCAATTCTTGAATACAGTTTAAGACATTCTGTTAAAGAATGACTTTCCATCATTATAGCACCCTAGCTCTCTGATTACATAATGTACATTTTACTACTTATATTTATTGATGTGTGTTTACCCTTACTCCGTGACATGTTTTCTCTTCATTCTACATAGTGGTCAGAAATTAATCTTCTGGAATGATTTATCCAGACAATTTTTGTGTGATTAAGTTACTCTGTTAAACACCAGGTGGTCGTAAGAACCCCTTTCTTGTTTTGCCATCATATCACAACTGGGCACCTTGGATTGGACCAAAATGCAGAGATGGGGACATTGTTTTCAACACTGAGCATGAGAAGTTGCATGCACCAAGGCAGGCTGCTGAGATGTCAGATCTCCAAATGACAGAGGAGAGACTCCAAGATGCCCTTATTAACCTCCGGGTAATTGCTATTTTGTAACTGTTAATTCATCATTGGGACTCAATGACAATGTTATTTATTTTGTTTGTTTTTCCTATGTTGAAATAATAGGTGGACATGGTGCGTAAGCTATGCAAACAATGTGGCATAGATTCTAAAGGTTCTAAGATGGACCTTATTCTCAGACTCCGGGAGGAGATGAAGAACAGGTCGTCATATGATAAGATTTTTGAGAAGGTCTGGGGAGCATCAGGTAGGCTACATCTTTCACTGAAGAGCAGCATGTTATTAGTGTGCAGTGATAAAATCATGCTTCATACAATCTTTATTGTGAGAGGTTTTCAAAAAGTAAACATATGTACATAGTAGCTCAACAGTTGTCACGGGACTTACATCATGGACCACACTGAGTAACACAATACAGACTTATCCATGGCAGTTATTTTGTGTAGCAAAGTTTTGCAATCTCATTAACTCAACTTTTTCATTTCCATAGGTGGCTGGGCAGTTGTTATGTGCCCCTGTGCTGTTGTCTATTCAATAAAATTTAATTTAAGAGCAGAAAGCCCCAGAGACTATGCAGATATTTTGCTCAGCTGGAAGCACTTTCCCAACATTGCCATTTATGATTTTGCGAGGGGACTGGCCACACACACCAACTTGAGGGAACCTGAAAACTTGCCTTTCAGCCCACATGAGGGACGGCTGGCTGAGGCATCCAATGATAATGTAAAGTCAGCTGCTGAAGGAAAGCTGAAGGTCCATTTACCATGGCTAAAAAGTAAAAAAAAGGATGCAGACACAAACTGCCACCCACTCACAGGATCATCGGAACATTATACCTTGTATGATGTTTTCCATGAGAAAAACACAAAGGATCCTAGAGACATCCTTCGAAGAATAGCACTTGTTCCTGAACTGGCTGGCTGGGTCAACAGCCAGTGTGCTGAGCAATTATTTGCAGACATGAGGAAGAACAATTACTTTCTGAATACACTCACACCGTCTGAACACATCTTCATGATGCGCAACATATTGCACCACTACAACACACAATGCAACAACAAGACTGAAGAAAGCATCAAGAAAGTGGTGAGCGAGGATGTCCTGCAGTTGGATCACAATGGGCAGATAGTAATGGGTAATATTATTTACATTCATTAATTCATATTTTTCACTAATTAAAACAAATAACTATCTTTATCATTCTAATATTTTCTTTTACTAAACCCACAGCTGCACAGCCACCCACAGAAGCAGATGTAACAACACAACCCTGTAAGTACAATACTGAGAAGAAATTTCAAAAATCATGCCAACAGTATGTAACAACTTTATGTTTGAAAGGATAGCATGATAAATTCATGGAATTACGTGTTTGTCTCATAAGCATCATAATAAGCTTTTCACAGAGAAGGTTATATGATGACTGTTCAAATGTTTTATTGCCACACTGGCATAAATGTACTCTTCAGACTGTCCAAGCATGTCTGACCTGCTTCCAGGTCTAACACCTAACCAGACATCTGACCAACTGAACAGGAGGATATGGGCTGTTAACCCTCTCCCAGCACAACAGAAATTGGTGATGTATAATTTTGTAGTAATATACATAAATATGTAGTCTACTTTTGTAAATTTTTATTATTATTTTTTCTGTTGTGCTATTTGTGTGTGTAAATGCTTTTTTTCCAGTTGGCGTATGTGTTGGATAAAAACAAAGATCCGTATGAGGACATACTTTCTTATAGCCCAGGACGGACATTAACAAGATGTGATTTCTGGTCTTTGGCCTTTGAAGAGGTTGAAGCACAGGTAATTGTACACTTCCATGCATGTGGTGTACATGATTACATCAGCTTTTAGTAATGACCTTACTTTTCTTTTAACAGATTGCTGATCAGTGCTTTCAAGTCATAACTGCTCTTGGAGCTTCACAGGTCAGCTTGTTTTTGTTCTGTGTGGTATTATTAAGCCTTTGGCAGGGAGGCCTTGTGGCCTTAAGAAGAAATTTCTCACTTCTCATGGAGTTTGTCACAGGCTTTACACAATACATTTTTCCTACATTTTCAAAAAAAAACTGTAGCACTACTAGTTTCTGTCTCTTCAGGGCAAAGACGTCCACACTTTCAGCATCTATTTGGTGGTTACCTGGTTACCACCATTTCACAATGATCCCCTTGCAGCTTTACCTGTAAGTTTCTTTTTAAATTATTGTTTGTGTGTACATATATATATACAGTACTTCTGTGTGTATATGTCATTATTCCAATACACAGGACAATATTGGAACAAAGGACATCATTTTACTCCCTTCGTGGGAGTCCGGGCACTGGATTTTGTGTGTGAGTTAGCAAATTTTCCAAGTGAGATACTTTATTAACATGTATGTGGATGTGTAGCTGTTGATGTGATGTGTATTTGTTTTTCTGTTACATTTGCATTTTTCAACCCATCACTATATTTGTCTCTTTTAGCATGCCATACACACATTCATTTTCTTTTGTAAACTTGTAGTTTTTTGGTTTTTTTGCGTTGTGGTCTCTCAGTTGTTGCATGTCTTAATATCATCTGCATTTCCAGGTACTCAAGCCAAAGTCAAAAGAGATTTTATTTCTAGACTCCATGAACTCTGTAGACTTTGGACTTGGGAGCTACAGAGACATATTCAGGTTTTGTTCTCATTACAAAGCGTTCCGGAGTTTCCAGTCAAATTCTTCAAGAAGTTTTCTACTTCTGCATGGTTTGTTCCAGTTTGAACATGAAAAACAAACTCCAGGCGTTGGATATATCAGTATGTTTTGCTTCTCATATGTCAATATGATGAAGCTACAGTCTACACATCCTCTATTTGAGAACTGTTTTGGTATAACTTAGGTTCTGATTTGGATCCATATAAATAAATGGGTTTGCCTTGGTGGACACTCTTTGAAGTGCCAGTTATTGATAAAGTCACCGCTAAGGAATATAAAACTCCTGGAGTCTGTCACTCATGATGACGGGTATGGCAGTTCCATTCAAGGCCATATGTTCCTCTTTCAGCCAGTTGGGTATGGTTATTTATAAATAATGGTCATCTTATTAGACCAATTCATTTTAAAACCACTGGCTGAAACACAACATGAGGTGGGGTAGTTCTGTTTTAAACCCCAACTCTTTATTTTTTTGACTTGTATGTTTACTTAGTTTTTGGCTTTAGGGCCGTACTGTATGCATTTATATTGTATTGTTGTTTTATGACAGAGTCTTGGCTAATCACATTTCACCAGGCCATTGGAACACTGTAACATTGAGTCAGTTGAAGGTACGGGTTTTTAACATCTTTGCACACAAACCTTTATTATCTGCTGTGGAGTGTGATGAAAGAATAACTATAGATAATATATGTGGTCTTATTATTGACAGGGTGCACCACTGCAGTGGGGAGGGAATGACTGTGGGGCATACATGATGATGGTCAGTGGTCTTACAATTTAAATGCCATGGTCTTTGTGTGTTCTAAATGCAGATTTGTGGATGTACCATTTTGGTTTGAATTTTGTTTTTCAGTATGCCCTCTATGTGACCCTGGACATGCCTTTTGATTTTGCTCAAGTGAGTTTGTATAGTTATTTTTAAAAAATGCACTGCAAGACCTATTTCAATTATATTAAGAACTTTTCACTTTATATATATTATCAGTCAGATATGCCCGTAATCAGGAGTTGGTGGTGCCAACAATTACTGAAGACATTTCCTCTGGCTGGGTATGAATCCTTTGCAGGAAATTTCCAAGATGTGAGTCCCCAGTACATGGGGAGTTTGTAATATATCATGGGAAAAATCTTTTTTGCAATCTTTTCTTTAAAGTCAATTCAGCCCACCAGAGCCGGAAATGATGGAGGTCACCCAAGGAGAGCCCACCCCAACAGAGCCAGACACTATGGAGGTCACCCAAAGAAAAGAAATACAAGTGTGTAGCATCTAGTGAATGTTTATTGTTTTTAAATTGGTTGTTTTATGTATTTGTATTGAATGAAGAGAACATGACTAATTTCATTGTTATTGGAATTCATTATCATTTTGCATATAGGACGTGCCTGTGATGAGAGGCATTATGGTGGCCTGGAACTGGGTGAAGGAAAACCAAAAACACTTTGCTGGAAAGGTTATCCCACCAGACATCATCAGTATGGATGAAGACGACGCAGCAATGGCCATCACAATGCAGGAACTGTTCATGACTACACATGACATGGATAGGGATGAGGATGAAATTCGGTCTCCCTTCATTTTCACCTTCTCAAACAAAGATGATATGGAGTTTTTCATGCATGAAATAAGAGACAAACGAGATATCCGTGTGTCTTGCATGTGCAACACAGATTAGTACTTGGTGTTTTGCTGTTTGGTTTAGTTTACCAATCTGTCATCAATAACATGTAAAATAAAATCATCAACATCTCAGTCATTAATTCATCTTCAATGTCTGTTATCGTCACTAGGGCTATGGGGGAGCTGGATTATGTCTCAGATTTAGAAAGGCAGGCTACACGCACATATGCATATATATATATAAACACATATATATACACACATTATATATATATAGCTACTGGATTATGTCTTAATATATATATAACTGCTGCGTGCCCTTTTAGAAGCTGTTTTTTATTTCAATTGCTGCCATGTAACATTAAAATTCTGATGAAGTCCAGTTGCAAAGATGCAAAACAATTTAAATTGTAATTTTTACAAATAAAATCTTGCTAACCTCACAACCTCAGCAAAGACAAAATTGTGGGGGCCCCTGCTGTAACTGGCTGACTAGCATAATTTTCAGTCAGTACACATGGACCTAAACTGTTAGAATAAAAAGTGAGAAAACATATTTAAATTGAGATAAAAACAGGGAAAAACACTTTGCAAAGATATAAAAGATAAGTGCCCTGGCCGGGATCCAAACCTGCGTAAGTAGAGCCCGACCGTAACTTGGTTATCATTCTGGCTAACATGGGTCAGGTTCATATACACTAAATACAAAATTATTTTAAGTGTAATAATGGGATGCAAGTGTTTCAATTCTTCACTAAATAAAAAAATTATTTTAGAATTTTTTGTTTGCTGTTTTAATCAGCGTTTCAGATTAAAATATGCTGAATAAACCAGCAGAAATGGCATTTTTATGGTAGATGTGAAGAGTGGAATGAGGGTTTTTTAACACCACAGGAATGTTCTAACTTGTGTCTTCAAACTGATGTTTTCCAGGTCAAAAGAAAGCAACAACAGTTCTGCTTTTTAGAAGCTAGATAGGCAGAGATATACCAAATTTAAGCTGCTATAAATTATATATATATATATATATATATATATATATATATATACATATATATACTTCTATGTAGTTAGTAAAACAAAGCAATAAAATATGAAACAAATGAATGAATCAACTGATCCTTTCATTTATATTAAAAAAAAGTCAAGGGTAAATTGAGGAATTATGTTTAAGCATGAAAACAGAAGGTGAAACAGGCTGTGGGACTAGTGAAATAGCAGCTCCACCTTAAAATTACATGAACGGGCGGGGAAGACTCTGCATGAATGGGCGGGGATGACTCTGGTGCAGCTCCACCCTCTGGTGCAGCTCCGCCTTTGTGGTTCTGCAGCGAGCACCACTTGGCTGGAGTAGCCCCTGGCTGCATCCCGGAGATCGGGGCGGGGCTAAATGTGGGCGGGGTTAAACGTTTAGAGGTGGGTGGAGACAACTATTTGACTCCTGCCCCTCTCTCAATGGAACCAGGAAACTGCGAGTAGCCCCTTTCTAAGGATTAGAAAGCCCTAAAAACCCACAAAACCCATGTAAAGCATAACATTGGTAATCAAATGACTTGTTTGCTGGATGTCATGATAATTTTAAAGAGCAGATAATTACAGGCGCCATTTTTGATCCAATCTGTTCTGATATTTTTATTCTTTTTTCTACTTTTGTATGGTATGTGTATTTATAGCACATAGCCAGGTATTTGTGTCTTTTAGCTATACTTTTGGTACCTCTATAAAAGGTTCAAGCATTTAATAGACTATTCTTTGAACCTGTCAAAACCATTTTAATAGTTGATTTTATCAATGCTGCCTGTATTTTAATAGTCATTTCCCAAGTGAGTGTAAAACAGTACAGACAGACACGGGTAAATTTGTTGTACACTCAGTTATATCAGCTACATTAAGAGGAACAGAGACTTAAATTGTGCTGATACTTCTTAAAACATGCCAGGGTTTGAGGCGGGGTGGTGAGACATTGTGTGAGACACCCAAGAATGCAGACTAAATTTTTCAAAAAAGGTAAATTTAATAGAGCAAACAACAGCCAACACAGGAATAAAAAAAAAGTACAAACAAATGAACCAAAAAGCACACAAAAAACAAGAGAACCTCCAAAAAAACAATGTGAGGAGGAAAAAGAATGCAAAAACTGTGACACCGCTGTACTATGGCATTTCAAAACCAGAAAACACCTTTATCTTCCTTTTTTCCTCAATTTCTCTGCAGAACTCCTCATAGTCTGACTGAAAACTAAACATGAACAGGAACGGTTCCCTGCAATCGTTCATCTCCTCTTCATCCAGGCCATCACAGAAGCATGACCTCTCCACTGCCCTCCGGCAAGCTTCCCTGTCCATGGTGATGACCTGGGGAAGGGAAAGGCTTCCTTTGAAGGACCTTGTGGTACACCACCTTGCTGCCTCAAAGGTGTCCTCAAGCAGAGAATTCTCCTAATCAAAAATAAAGACAATATTAAAATTACTGCTGTCAAGAGATTAAAAACATATTTTACATTAATTATGTATGATCTGAAAGTAATCTAATCTTTCAATTTAATCTAATAACTGTACATAATATAAGCCTTATTTTCAATGCTAACAGCTAGCCAAACAGCTGATGCTGGTCTTTCCAAACTGCAGCACGGAGGTGCGTCTGATACAGGAGAGAAGCTGTCAGCAGCCTTGATGCTCAGTGACACACCCATTACATCCAAATGGTAACAATAACTTTGGAAAAAGTTGCAAGAAGGGTGAAAAAAACAGAGTAAAGATAACAAGGTCGCTGAAATAAACACTGCTGCAGCTAATCTCTCACTGGTCTTGTCACTGTAACGTCAACCCTTCAACTTATGAGTTTACATGAACCCTTCAAGAACAGGAAAAGAAATTGGTTTATTTAAAAGTCCCATAAAGAAGCAGTAGATTAAAAATGATAAACATAATAAAAATATACAACACGTTAATCATGGCTGTAAAAAATTAATTGCAAGTAATGGAATTATTTGACACCTCTAATTAAAATAGAGGTTGGAGAAGAAACAATGACACAAGAAAAGTCCAGTTCCAGCAAGTTCTCAGCCTCTGCTAGAAAGGAAAAAGACTGTGGTTCATAAAAAGCATATTAACGATGCAAGTTGTAAAAAAGATCAGTTGCTTAGTATTCTGGTTTAATGAAAATAGAGAAATGACTGAAAAACTTGCTTTGAAAAAAAAAAGTGCTCTGTCTGGAACGGTCTTAATTTTCTAATCTTGGCAAAGTAAGAATTTCATTGTGCAGAAAGTGTGTTTTTCTAGCTGTGCATATGACAAAAGGTTGAATCTTGAATCTTCCCACATCCCATTTTGACAACCTAGGGGGTTGTGTACAATAATACTTGTTTGAACAATACCTGATGCTGCACAGACTCATTCAGTATGGCAGGACTTCTTAGGAGGGACCACTTCCAGGCCCTGAAATAAATGAAGGAATTATGCTTTAGTCTGCAAGCAACAGTTAAACTACAAGAATTAATCAAATTGTCTCTCACCTGTTTTACTCTTTCCTCTCTCCGTCTTTTCCGTGCCTGCACTCTGTCTTCCTCAGACCTTGATGATACAATGACAACATTCATTCACTATGAAAACATTCATGCTATTCTGTTGACACTTGAATGAGCAAAACGTTTATATAATTACACACATCAGATTAGCACTCTAACCATAATAATAAAGCCCATCAGGTGTAGAACTCAGATACGAACATAAAAAGCTTAAAAAACTAACATATTTCCCCCTGTAAAATATATTTCCACCAAAAAGTAATCATGACCACACAACATATCTCCCCAAAGCTATAAAAGTGTTCCTACAGGTTTCTTCAACTTAAATTTAAGTCTAAGATCTTTCTAAAGCCATATGGAGAATTAATACCTATTTCACGGCACTATCAGCAAAAAAGTAAATAAATAAAATAAAATTATTGAACTAATTTCATTTATTTATCTATACAACTTTACCAATATATTTTGACAAAACACTGGGTGGGCACTTGGTAGAAGATCGGTTATATTTTTAAACAAATGGTTAAAAATATAACCGATCTGGTTGGACATTAGAACCTTAATAATTTTTGTTGCCTATATTTTAGTTTAATTTTAAGACATTTTTTTTTATTATTGCTAATTTTATTACCCTAATTTCTTGCAGTATTTCTATTGTATAAAAGCAACAGTGCAAACAGTAAAGACACAAAATTGAAATAAATGTCTAAAAATAGTGCTTCTCTTGGTGTCATCACTTGTTTGGAATATTTTGATGAACTTCAGAAGAAAAATGCAGTACAGAAAACTTACATCCAACACAAATTTTAAGACCCAGATGCCAAAATTGAAGGGTTTCTCCAGTCTTTTAAAGGTATTACTTTCAAATTCATAAATTCAATGCTTTTAAGACTCCGTGGGAACCCTGTAAACATTTCTCCTCAAAAGTAAGTCGCCCCGCATGTGTAAAATAGGCTATATGTATCATCTAAAACTCATAATGGGAAAAAAACCTTTAATTTCCAAGTTTATAAAACGTTCGCCCAACACTGGTCCTCGATATTGTTAAAACAGAGAAAGAAAATCCTAGCTTACCTCCATTTTGGCAGCTACTTCCCTCTGTCCCGACACCTGTCACAGCATTGCACACACACATAGCATAGCGGTTTCCTGGTTCCATTGTTCCATTGAGAGGGGCAGGACGCAGGAGTCAAATAGTTGTCTCCGCCCACCTCTAAACGTTTGACCCCGCCCACATTTAGCCCCGCCCCGATCTCCGGGATGCAGTCAGGGGTAGTTGGCTCGCTGCAGAGCTACAAAGGTGGAGCTGCACCAGAGTCAGCCCTGCCCATTCACGCAAACTCAGCCTAGCCCACTGACTTCTTCTGTTTTTTGTTTTTTAACTTAATCTTAAACTAAGCTGACCCACATGAATTACGGTTGTTACTAGTTTGGAATTGTTAATGCTACGTTCTATGCTCCAATTAAACATGATAACTACAACCTGGTACATGACAAAGCTTAAATATATGTCAAAACGAAAAGGCTCTCTAGTGTGTGGGTTCTGGTAGTCCAGAGGCATGATTGTGTGGTTATGAATTTATATTTCCTTTGCTGATGTTGGTTCGAAA